CCCTTTTTTTTTAATGTTTACTTTTGAAGCGTAGAATGGTTTAATGTTTCACAAAATGGTACCTTAATTATATAAGTACTCTTCTATATAATAGTAATAAAGCCTAATTTCAAAAAAGGTACTCTGTCATGCCTTACATCTTGACATGCTCGTTCAAACAAAAAGACATAAAATATGTAAGATGGAGACTTAAATAGAATTCTAGATTACGCGATCAAAAAAGTTTAAACAAAGAAAAAATGAAGAAACATGTCTCAGTTTTACTGAACATAATATATTTTTCAAGTAAATGATGACAGAAATCATCTAACATTGGCAAAAAAAAGGAAATGCTGAATAAAAAAATCATATCATTTATGAAAATCACACGTTGGCTTACCTGCTCGTATATTTATCTTAGGTTTAATTTTTTTGAGAAAGGGATGGATGTGGTCTTAAATAATTTTTCTTTTTATTTTATTGACACTATTGTTCTTTGTAAGTGGGCTCAGCTTGTTTTAACAATTGAAAGATCTTGTCCTGCAAAACAACGATTTGATTATCAAGGTGTATATGCCATTGGTGGTGATGATAAACGTGATTTAATGGTTATAAAACGAGCAACGAAAAGTAAAGCAGCTCAAAGAAAAGGAGCAATCGGTAATTGGAAGGTAAATCTTTAAAAATAAAAGAAAAATAATAACATGAGTTGTTCAAGGTTGAAAGAATAAAATCATAATATATATCTTATTCATCAAATAACATTTATGACATGGTTTAAGTGACATTTTCTTTTAGCGAGTTGGAAAAATTGTTCTTTATTTACTAAAAGAACAACAAACAACAGCTGATCATGTTCGTCTCCGTCGTGTATCCCATCAATCTGTTGTATTCAAACCAAAAGCACAATTTGATAATATGCTTGAAACTATTGCATGGGAACGTGATATGGATTTTTCTGGAGCAAAAGGATTATCATCATCAAATCAAAATATTAATTTAGGTTCAACACAAAATACAGCAGATTTAAATTCATGTGCATCACACCCGCCTTCGCCTCCGCCTCCACAATTTGTGACTGGAGAATTTCCACCACCATCATCAATACCACAACAATTAACTGGTGATAGAAAACCAATGCGTCGTTCAGAATTATCTGAACTTCGTTCTCGTCCATCATTTGTTGATTATGAAGATTTAGAAGTATTTCGTCATAGGCGATCATTAGCAAGAGCATCCAATGTCTGGCATCCTCAACCAACTCGACGAACTTCTATGATGCCTGTTGATGCTGATGGTTATAAAGATTTGCTTCTCGATGTTGATAATAGCCACCAAGAATATAATAAAAAAAACAAATTAAATCAATTTATGTCTCACGGTACCTCGAATATGAGTATTAAATCAAAAATAAGTGAAACGACTATTTGTTAGTTGATCCTATCTTTTTGAAGCACATATTATTATTTTTCGCTCTTTGTTTCTATGTTCACATTTCTTTTTTTTTTTAATGTATCAAAACAAAATGAAAATCACGTTTAGATAATAATAAAGCATATAAATGAAATAAAGAATTTTTTTGTTGTTGTTTTCATTTGTCGGTCTTTACAATAAAACAAAAAAACATGATTACATAATTACAAATAGATTATTAAATATATTTTGTATCAATATCAAAGAATATACACTTTTTAAAAGTTAAAATATAGGTTATTTCTATTGCGATTGATTACTACCTTTAAAACCTTGAACATAACCTGTCGTATCAACATCATCAGAACGACCTTCTTTACCTTTACCATGACCTTCTTCATCAAAACGTTCTTTATGTATACCCCTACAAAAAAAAAATATATATCGTTATGAAAAAAGAAATTAGTCAATAATTATCATATAATTACGTATATTGTGATGTATCTGTCATTCGATCTGTAACTTCTTTATTTGCAGTTTCAGTTACATTTGTAAGGCTAGGACCTTCATTTTCATTGATTTTAGCTAAGATTTCATCAGAACTAACACCTTTTGATTCAGCAATACGATCAATTAATAATTTAAAACCTTTGATTTCAAATGTTTTCCTTAATAGATAAAGAATATTATTTTAAATTCATATTTGTTATTAATGTTTACTTACGTTCCTTTTGGATAATGAGGACAACCAGCTTCAGGTGTTCCCGTCGTTAATTTTCCGAGTACACGTGCAATATCATTATCCAATAATTGCGATGTATATTTGGAATTAATTAATGAACAATCTTTCATCATTTTTTGTATTCCGGCTGAACCTATTCGAAGTTCACTATGATCATTTAATTGTGCATGACTCTTGCCAAATTTAGAATATTTATCAAAGGCCTGTCGTAAGCCTGATGATACAGAAGATTTTGATGCCATTATAATATGTAGATATGACTATCAACGCGGTTAGAAATGTGTGTGAGTAAAAAAGGCAGAATAAAAAATATGTTATAGGACTGCCATCTCTCTCTATATATAATTAGAATGGGGCTTTTTCTCGCGTTTTTTTTTCTTTCCTGCTTTCCGAAAAAAAAGACTCGCCACTAATGTCCTAGGGAGTCGCTTGTTGATGCCTGCGTTATAGATCATTTCTTCTCTTCTTTTTCTTCTACGTCGTCGCTTCTGTCGCACATTCTTATCTATTGCTGTCGTTTTTTTATCCTCGTCTTGTATCGTCATTTCAGAGTTAGTCAAAGAAAAAAAATAGAGAAAAAGAGGGAGCGAGAGCTATGAAGAACAAAGGAAAAAAAGATATATAGTTTCAGTCCTATAGCTAACATGCAAAGCTGAAACAAGTTGATGAATGTTCATGACATGAAAAGCTAATCTATTATTGTGTTTTAACAAGATATTACTGGATCATTTTCATGGCACTAGATATAGATTCGTTTTTTTTTGTTCACTTATTGAATTCACATACTTTTTTCTCGAATTCATAAAAATAAATGATGTCAATCAACAGAAACATTGAACTGAAGAACTGCAAAAGAAGTTAATGAACTAAACTATTTAAAATTGAAAGCGGAAACGATAATATTAATAATCAGGAGCATTCTCATTGGTGTACATGCGCCTTAAATAGAGCATTCAGATCATATATATAACAAGTAATGATAGAAAAACATTAAAAAAAAAGAATAATTAATAAAGCTTATTTGATAAAGAAATCACTAATAATAAAAGTTACAGTTCATTGAAAAAAGTGAATAATAATATAATCTACCTTTAAGAAAAATATAAAAAGAAAAAACAACACTTCTAAATTCAATGAATTTGTGTAATTTTCATTAAAATCAGTTAGTCGAGTAACTTAAAAAAACCATGAAATTATTAAATATGAATTAAAATGAAGCTTTCATATAATTAAAATAAAACAACTTATTTTATTCTCGTGTTCAACACGAGATGATTCATTATACAATAATACTTGAGTACTCACTATACCAAAATCTTATAAAACCATAACAATAATTCATATTCATCAAATATTTTATAAATGAAAACATTCTATAAACTCTTTGTTTCTCTTTGTAACATGAAGAAAAAGTAAAAATTAGACACAATATTTTTTTACTTTCAGTACAAACGTGTGAAATACCAAGAGGAAAAAACAAAAAGCAAGACAAAGATTACAATCAGTGTATTTTACAGACAAAATGGGAATAGAAAAAAAATGTTTATCACATTTTATAAGCAATAATGAATAATTTTTTGTCTAAATGAGAAAATATATTAGATTTTTGACTCTTCTTTGCATTATTATATGAAAATGAAAAAAAATGAAAAGTACGAATAACATAAGAGATAATTCCATCGAGAAATCGAATCATTATTTTTTCCGATTATGAATTTTTTATTGTTTGTCAAATCCAATCGAGTAAAGCATCGATTCTTTTTTCATCACTTACGTGTATTTCGCGCATACACACAAGTGTTCTTGTTCGATTAGAAAAGATTTTTATTCAATCTTATAATTTCTCTCTAGTGCGCAGCCTTCGATTCCTCCATCTATGGTCGTTTTTTCGTTTACATTTCGACTTTTATGCATTATTTTTTGCATTATTGCTGTAGTAAGTAAACATGTTTGAAATTTGAATAGTAGCTATTGAATATAATATTTTTCATGTCGAATTTTTATTCGATTAATGATTGACTGTATGATGAATGATTATTTTCATTTTTAGACATCATACAAAATCAGTTACCATCCTGCAGTCGGAAATCCCAATGAACGGGCTGTAACTGAATGGCGTTTTCGTCGTCATTATTTACTTCATTATCCTAGTTTTGCATCAAGTTATGACAAAGTAAGTTTAGTTTTATTCATTTTTGTATGTGATTGACATTCTTGATTTTTGTTGTTCTCTTTTCAAAGAAATATTCGACAAATGATGAAGCACATGATTTTAATCAAGCTGATGAAAGCAAATTCAATGAAAAAAAATTTATTATTCCTCAGTTGATGTATCCTCGGAATAAAAGAGTAAAATATTGACTGAATATTATTTGAAATACTTGACGAGAAGTATAACAATAAAGAAGAAAAAAATATAATATATCATTTTTATTTGTTGTTTTGTGTTTTTTTTCGCTTCAAAATTTATATAGACAACTAAACGTTCGAATTGAGTACATCTATCATAAAAGGAAAAAAAACGAAATAAAAAAAACTGCTTAACAATGACGATGGAGAAATGGTAGAAAAGAGTAAAAAAAAGAAGAGAAAAAAAATTGTAAAGTGAAGAGTTTCACATTGATGGCAGTGTTTACCGGCAACTATTGCAGCCAGCAGGCGAACAGGCATGGCAATCCCATCTATATGTATATTGTGTTGAAGAAAGAAAAGTAAAGTTTAGTGCTTTCAAGTGAGTGTTGACAACCAGCAAAAGAGAAGAAGAGAGAGAGACTGAGGGAGAAAAAGTTTGTATGTATGTAAGAAACTAAGCTCAAAGAAAAAAATGTGATGATTCTCATAAAAATAGTGAGTTAAAAAGGATACAATGTCAAATCCAGCACAAGTTTTATCGAGACATCGAAAAACACCATTACCACCTGTAGTACCAACGCGACAAACTCTTATATCATGGACACATGGTAATAAAAATGGTAGGTGTATATGTGTGTGTGGTTGAATTTGTATGTTAAATGTGATTAACTACTCTTAACAACAGGAAGTTCTTTGTCATCTGATGTTTAATCGCAAATAGACATGATAAAACGAAATGAGCTGAAGAGACAAAATATACGTTGTTCGTAATTTTATGTTGTCGTGTAGTCTACATATAGTAAAAATAAAGTATATGATGATAAGTAAAAGGTCAAACACCTGTGAATAAAATATTTTTTTTCTTTTCTCTTATTACACAAACGTTTATTCGTAAGAATTCTCAACAGATTTTTTTTTCTTTTCCTTACTCAAGTATACGTATATTTTAATAATGTATTTAAATATGTATTAACAAATCAGATAACAAAAAACTTTCATATGATAAATGAAAGCTTGTCTTGTAACGGTTAATATTATTGCATTCCATTTTTCCGGAGAATTATGGATTATAAATGAAACAATCTGTTGAACTTTGTCGTTTTGAAATGTATATATAGAGAGATTTGCCATATCAATATGGCTTCTTATTTGTTAATATACTGGTCTCACTACAAGCATCAATATGCATTAAATGTCTTTTTTCATTACTAATTTCTAATCATCCATAATAGTTCCTTTGGATGGATTTTCGTTAGAATAATAGATAAGAAATAAAAACCACTGTGCATACTAATATAAAGGTCGATGGCAAATAGAATGGCATCATTGCTATCATTATTATCTATAGCGAAAATGCCAATGTGACAACTACTAAGACTGTATGATGCCATTTTAACGTAAAACATAAATCTCATTTAGGATATAGTAAACTAGGGATCTTTTTTGTCATGCACTTATTCTTCACTCATTGAGTAGTCTCCGTGTATCGATCTACGCAAGTTTATTTTTCATTTCATGTTCGTTAGACCATTGTATTCATTGTTTCTCATTTTCTCATATATTGCTCGGTGTCGAGACGGAGTACTAATCATTAATTCGGATCTGGACGTATCATTGATGTATCTGTTTCGCCCACTTAGTTTGTCTTCTCTTTTTTGTCTTTTGCATTCGCTTGCACGATTCTCCGTTCTCTTTTCACATCCATCCTCAATAATTACAACAAAAAACAAGAGAACGATGACGTCGATGACGAAAAGGAGAGTGAAGAACGATAGAATGCACACAAACTACGGTATGCATTCTATATAAAAGAGCGCTCTCCTTGGCGGTAGCGACGCGGAGACCCACACACACACTAAATCCGATCAGTGCTACTATTTACTCCATACAAACAAGTTGATTAAAAGTGAAGATAGTATTAATTATAATAATAATAATCATCATAAGTGAAGTATACAATAAAGACCGAAAACGGTGCCCCATCGGTTTGGATCGTCTTGGTGGCTGTTGGCCGAAAGGTATGACGATGATGATGATGACTCCGATTATATGACAGAGAAGAATGACGATAATGATCATTTCCCTTTACCACCGGCCAAGCGTATTAAATTGGGTAAGTGACTTTTTTTTAAATAAAAGAACTATATTAATTATCTTCCAAATCAACAAATCCTATATTTAATGTATATTTAAAAAGATGTGTCAGATGACAATCTTGTCAGATAGATAAAGATTTACAAAGATGTGGCTCCATCTACTAATTCGTTTTCTTGACAGTTATTTTATCTATCTAACTGAAGGAGACGGATATACGTGCGTAACTTAGCTACAATGTCGCCGTTGACATTCTTATAACCGTATTTTAGCAGTATACATGTATATCTACGGATGGTTGATCTTTTTTCTTGTTTTTGTGTACTGTTTCTTTCTTTCTTTCTTTTTTCTTTCTATCTTTTTTTTACTTATTCATATTTTACTACCACAAATAAAACTTTCAGCTAGAAATTATGAAGAAAACAGTTCTAGTTTATTTCAATCATCACAATTATTCATACGATTAGTATTAAATAGATGTGAAACTTTAGAAAAAAGATTCATTCCATCTAATAAAAGCATAATATTGTTCTGATTTATTTTTTTTTATCGAAATTGTAATGCTTCGTTAGAAATTACATTGTTTCTCAAAACATGTGTTAATCGTCAGATATACACATACAGGTGTCTATCAATCTTTGTTTTTAAATAGCATATAATGTAGTTTTATTGTTTTGATTATTAATCACCAAAATATAAGGAAAGGTTTTATTTTTTTCTGTTTTTATCTTTTTACTAGGTGTTTTTCAGAATCATATAATCACAATATCTAAACTTTTGTATAGTTAAATGAATATAATTCATTAAATAAATCTGTCATGGATTGTGACATTTTCGTTTTTTTTTCTTTTTACGGTTATGCGTCGAATCATTCATTGTCTTAATGCTAACGGATTTGACGTTTAAATGAACTATTATACATAAGTGTTGTTTTTATGTTCGAATTGGCTAGATGAAGGTCAAGATGGAAGGCTTTTATCCTTTATTGAAAAATTTATTTACGTGAGAGGAAAAAGAAAGAGAGCATCAATATGTTAAGATGTTTCATCAAGGGATTTTGATAAAACGATCTGAAGTATCATATGTCTTAAATTATTCGAAGTCCTTTTTTTCTTGTTTTCTTTTTAAATTTATTTTCTTGATAAAGAATTGCTTAACTCAACACCTAATATTCATATCCAGGTATATTCGAAAACAAAGATTTTATGAATATATTACAATGTTAATATAATCTATTGAACAAGTCAATGAGATGAAACTTGGATTTATTTCTTAAATAGAAAAGACGTTTTTTATTTGTATATGAAGTGTTCTCTTCTTCTTCTTCTTCTTCTTTTCTAATTGATATTGAAAGAGAGTTCGATTGCTAGTTGTTATTGCCGCTGTCACATACAACTCGATGGTTAATTCGATTATAAACAACAGGAACTCTCGTCATCGGTTGATATTTAGAGAGCGAATGAAGTTCATACAAGGCTATTGAGGATAAGGATAGACTCTTTTGATTTTGCAAGTCTATCTATCGACAATTATCTCTGTTTGTGTGTGACGAATTTCTTCTTGTTTTCCTCTCTATTTTGGTTTCTTCTCTGATTTGATTTGATTATTCAAGACGTTTCTTCATTTTTAGATTATGTCAGCCTTTGGAATTGAGAATGAAAGGAGGTAGAGTAAGAGAAAAATGGCAGAGACAAAAATATGGTTTCATGACAAATAAAGTTAATAGGGCAATTATCTTATTTTTCTCATCCTCTCAGAACTCATACTTCCCATCTATATTCTACTCGCACAATTGATATTTGTCTCATAACAAATTACTTTTGCATGTCATAGATACTTTTCGCCTGATCTATGTAATATGACTATTAAAAAGGAAAAAAATACTTGAAAATAATGAATGTATTGATTCTTTTCTTGCTATTTCCTAAATTAGTTGTTACAATAGTACAATCTTGATTTTTTTCCTTGTCTCATTTATCTTGTGTCATCGTGTGTTATCACAGAAACTCAAGTTGTTTTTTGTCATCAACATTGTTATTATTATTGTTGTCATTCTCTATCTAGTTAAATCTTCTGGTTTTGATTAGATTTGTCTATATGGATATGTTGAAATACGAATATTTCTATCTGGTTGGACTGATAACACCTTGTTATAGTATTGAACTGTTTTTTTTGCTATCGATATAATTTGAATTACACAAAAGAGAGAAAGAGGACGAGAGAGAAGAGAAAAATAGGAAGATGAAAAGTATTTTCTCATTACTTCATGTCGGTAATCGACATTTTCTTTTACAAAAAGCTTTGTAGTCGCCATCGTTGCATTATTATTGCGTTCATCCTCGATCATAATTTGTAAAGCTTCTTCTGCTTCGTCGCATCAAGCAATAGCATGTAGTAACAGCACGAAGCGAGTTTTTCTTCTTCATCATCTTCTTCTTCTTGTTCTTCTCTGCTACGAACGGGCCAAGTCAACGAGAAGAGAAAGAGAAGGACGGAAACAAGGGGGTTGTTGTGTTAGTAGTGTTACTTCTTCTCTCCTTCCTTCTTTCTCCGCTTCGGTTATTCATCTCCGGGCTAGTTACCCTGAGAGTACGTCGGCGACTACTGCTCCAACTCCTTCTAGTGGTGTTGGTTTATAGGCGCAACAAAGCGTCCACGCGCCTCGCCCGCACTATCGATTGCCTACATACAATTCTTTACCAGTTGCTTGCGCCTTCAAATAAAGACGCTCGTTCTTCTATTTCTCTTCCTTTCATCAGCATCATTGCTGTTTCAACCGCTCGTACGCCATCATTGCACGTATTTATTTTGGTCGTTATTGTCGTTGGTGGTGGTCGCATGTTTTTGTTGTTGTTGTTGCAAGACGAAGGGGTTTGTCGATCATGATATATGTCGCAATTCACTGCTACGACGTCGTCGAACTTTGTTTTCCATCATTGTCATTATCATTGTCATTATCATCATCTCTTTCTCGTGATATTCGTCGACGACGACGTTTACGACAACGATCATTATGAGTTTCATCAAATGTTGCGCTTCAGTTCGTTCCTCATCGGACCATCAAAATCTAACAAACAACAACACCAGCAGCAAAAGTTCATCAAAAAAGAAAGCTCGTCATCGGTCGTCTGCCAAATATGGCGGTACGTTTTATGGTTTTTTTCTTGTGTTCTCTTGTTGTTCTACTGCTTTCTTCATGTCATAGCTTTAAGGTAATCCGTAATAGTTAAGCGCGTGTTTAAATTGACAATCACTTATTAGTATTCTTTGACATCGCTAAATGTCTGTGTGAGCAAGTGCACACACGCATATGCATGCAAGTATGAGAACATCAAAATTTGTTCGCATGTGTGTCTTTCAACATTAAGTTTGAAGTAGTGAGAAGGTATTGCATGTGACTATGTACGTGCTGTTAATCGATGCGCGCGCATGCTTGTGTATTTTGTTCCTTTCTTTTTTCTTTTTTTTTCATAGTCACATAGAATAAGACAAAAGAAAGTCATCGTTATTACTACCTCATACGCAATGATGGTTAGCTATTCGTAAGCATACAGGAAGTGACGAGCGATGCTTCTAGTATTGCAGATCATGGACCAAAAAAATGGAAAATAGAGAAATTGAGAGTGGAAAAAAGAAAAAGCTTTTTGTAATGTGATGCGGCATGAATGAAGCATAAAGTAAAAGATGAGAATGATACAACAGAAAAAAAACATTAACAATTAAATATCATAAAAGAAACGCTGAAAATAAAATACGACATAATGTCGACAATCTTTCAAATAGATGTTAACTTTTCATCAAATACATATTAAATAAACATTATATATGCATTTGATTGTCAAATTAAGCATTTCTTTTCTTTTCTTTACAGCCAATTCCGAATCATTACCATCTTCGGTCACAGCTGATACAGTAAAAATTTTTCTTGGTGAACATCCAGAATTTCTTGATTCATATATTCAACAAAATGTTAATTCAAATACAATTGAACAATGGATGTCGAAAAAACCTCAAAAATCATCTCAAGTTCAACAACAGAAGAAAACTTCTGTGTCAACACATTCTCCTTCCCCTCCTCCATCACGTCCATCATCATCATCAATGCCATTGGTTTCAACACAAAAAAAAATTGTCTCATCGTCAACAACAAAAGTTCCATTATCAACAAATACTGGTAAAAAAACAAGATTTATCATCATTTATCGGTCATATTTAGCCATTTAATCATTTCTATGAGTTCTTACATGATTTATGATCGCGTCTACTGTTTTTTATAACTAAGTGTCTTTTGTATAGATGAAACAACAGCATCTCCATTGGAACCATCCTCACAATCAATATCATCGACAACAGCAAAATCAATGAGCAAAGTCAATATAAATTTAATTTATTGAAAACAAAATCGATTTTTAGTTTTCTAGTTGGCAGAATTAACTGATCAACGTCGTTTATTGCATGAATTGACTGATGAAGTTAATCAACATGTAACTAAAGCTCAAATTCTATTTGAATTATGTAAATCAATAGCGTCAAGTAAGTTAAAAAATTCGGTTTTTTTTTTTGTTTTTCAAATAAATTTATTTCTATTTATTCAGCAGTATCAGCTGATGGTTTTAATTTATATTTGGTTGATGAAACTGGAATTAGTATGCGATTATTTACTCCAGAAAATGACGAGTGAGTGAGTGATAGATATAAGGGGAAATTAAACATATAATGATTAATTGTTAGTGTTTTTTTATTGCATAAAATTCTATTCGGCATTGATCCAGAATTGTGACTGATATTTACCTGTTGAAAAATATTTTTTTTGGATATGCCATTTTTTTTTTGATAAAGTCCAGAGAGAACAGGTTTGCTTGCTCTTATCAATATAATCAAATAGTGTTATCTCAAGAACTATTAATATTATTTTCTTTCATTCGTTCATATATTTTAGTTTGTCAAAAGCACAATTAAAACTGTATTTCTTGAGCTAAATTTATATCAGATATGTTTTAGTGAAGATTAAATTCAGATTTGAATCATCGCTGAGAGAGAAATGTTAGGTTTGTTTAAAAAGAATGATTGAGAAAATTCAAGAGTCGGAGTACAGCAGTCAGTTCACGGAAAAATATAATTTCTTTTTCGCATTATAGATAGAAATATCATGTATTCATCTTTGAGAAACTTATCAGATATAAACGACTATAACATAATACTTCTCTCTCTAGATTTGTAAAAATCTGAGTGCAAAAAAAAGGAAAATAATTGTTTTTTGAACCAGTCGGACCGAATCTATTCATAAAATTTTCCACCAATTACAATACTGAATTGACCTCCTCCTTCTATTTGTTAAACGCAATCTAAAATAAATAATAAGTGATGGGACGAAAATTTTTAGACCAAGTATTTGACTATTTTTCGCACATTTAAATGCATCGATAATGTATCAGAATCACAATTTTGTCTTCTTTCTGAGGTGCAATAAAGACTTTTATAACATCTATTGCAAGAAAAATGTCTATCTTTTCGGTTTTTGCCTTCTCAACATAAAATGATTCTCGGTCACAACTCTGATATATTTTAACAGATCAACTAAATCTCTCCATTGTTTCGTCACTTTGTACAATAGAGATCACTCTCAAGTGCTATATATTTACAGAATTTATTTGATGTAGTGTTGCCTTCAGAAAAATACGATTTTTGCCTTTAAAGAAAATTTTTCCAGTTCTGTCAAGATTTACTTATAATTCAAGTCATAAAAATTCTAAGTATATATTCTGAAAGAACGCAAAATTCTGATTCTAATATGTTACCGATGCATTTAAATATGCAAAAAATTATTCAGACATTTTCTGTAGAAATTTTCAGCTCGCCCGCGATTTATTACAATTCTAGAGGATTAAGTAAAAGGATGTTGAAGAAATACGCCTCAAAATAGATAGAATAAAACAATCTCCGTGTGATTAACAAGAGCAGCTGCATTGTATTTCACAATTTAATCCCACAGGGATTGTGCTAACAGCTTTTTTCTTTAAATCAAAGACTAATTAAAAATATATATCTATATGTTTTCTAGTGAACAAGCAGCTTGGTTCGTTCCAATTGCAATAGGTATTGGTCATTGTATTGCGGGTTACGTTGCATCGGCGAAAGAGACTGTTCGTATCAATAATATAGCTATGGTAGAATAATAAAAACAGCATTTAATTTTAATTCGTTCGTTAATCATTTTAATTTTTAAAGCTTGATATGGCAAAATATCCTGATGGTCTTTATATTAAAGATGATAAAGTAACAACTGTTATGGCTCATCCAATTGTAAATGCTAGTGGAATACTTCTCGGTATAAATAATTGTTTTTTTTTTATTTTTGTTTTATTGTTATAATGATAATTAACTAAATATTAAAATAGGTGTAGTTGAATTTTATCGAATTGATAGTACAATTCCATTTTCTGATGAAGATGCAGAAGTAAGTTCATATTGTTTTCTTTCTATTCTATTGTTTAGTATTATTCTTATAAAAAAAATAATAACCTAGCTTGCAAATATTGTAAATGCAAGATTGTGTCTATATGTTGTCGAAAATAAAATAACAAAATATTTTGTTTTGGAAAACTTATTGCTTTATTCGTATGTAGTTGTTAGAAGTATTTATATAATAGCTTTATATATAACACTTGTACTTATTTTTTTATTTAATGTAGTAAATAATTTCATTCTATTTTGCTTCAGGAAATTTTAAAATGCGTGAATGAGCTTTTCACCCAAACATATTACGAGGTATTACATCCCCCCATATATATATATACATATCAATCCCCTTTCTTTCTCTTATTTTTACACTATTTGAAGTGAATTTTTATTTATTTATTTTCTTATGTTTGTTCGTGTGTATTTATGACTGTGTGGAAATTTATTTCCATTTCTTGTTTTATGTTGCTTGCTCATTTACTTCCTCGATCTTATTATGCGGCTTATATACACATTAAGTTATGACAATGAATTCATTTGATAATGCATGTTGAATAAGAAAGATGCCTCGCTCGATAGATACATATAACGGGTGGATCATCAAGAATGCGACACTTCTATTTTTCTTTGAACATCTAAAATATAGTTCTGCCGTAGATTGGATAGAGAATATTCTGCTCTACAATAATTATCAATTTGATTTTTCAAATAGGTTTTTGTTGGTAAAAAATTCCTAGTTACTCTATCGCCTAATGTTGATAGTACCAGACTGTTTAAAAATTAATAACAGTTTTTGCTGAAATTTTGAAATATGCGACCAGATTCTGTATAAAACTCTGAAAACAACGTAAAGAACTCTTTTTCAACAGATCTCTGCCATTATTCATTTTTGATACAAAATAACTGAAAGATTTTTATTGTTCCATGTAAAGTTAGATCACTTAGTTTTCAACATCGAATTCCGTATACAATGAGAAAACAAAAAGAGGTTTCATAGATAGTGTCTCTGGTTTGAAAACACAAATTGCCAAAATCTACCCATATATGCTTACATGTATTTGTTCGAAACTTTTCAATATTCTTATATATAATCAATATTTTATCCAACGTGGGGATGGAAAGAGTGGTGCCCTTTCAAAGATTGGGTTAACCTTTTTGGAATTTGCAGTTATTCTGCCAGGTACTGTGTGTCTGTGTGTTAAAAATAGATGTTTGCTTTTCCGGAAGGAAAAATCTGAATAAAACACTGGTAAACAGCAAAATCAACAACTTTGACAAGATGGTAGAAACATAGAGTAGAAAGTTTCCTATCCTTTAGTATCGAATTTGATGATTATAAGCTTACACAAATCCAATGATGTCTACAGAGCATACGAGACTGCTGTTAGGCAATTAAATAGCTATAAATCTTGCGAACTTTTCATCGAGAAGAATAACTGATTTGAGAAACGACAGTTTTATAAAGCAACAAAATCTCTATAAAGTGTCCCATTTTTTTCATCTATCACCTGTTATATGTATTTATCTGTTTTTTTATGTTTTCATATTTTGTTATTTTTTAAAAACGATAAACCGATTCTGTTTTTTTCTAAACTTTAGTTAAATAATACTTTTTCGTTGTTTTATAGCTTTATCATTCAATGACACGCGAACGACGTTTAAATGATTTTCTTTTGGCTGTAACTAAATCAATTTTTCAAGAACTTGTTAGTATGGATACTGTTATGTTAAAAATTATGGTAAACAAAAAAAAACACCAAAGGACATTATCTTTTAAATCGATAGAGAGAAAATGTCAAACAAATGATTTGTTGTTTCTTATAGAGTTATGCAAAAAAATTAGTGAATGCTGATCGTGCCTCGTTATTTATGGTTGACTCACGTACAAAAGAACTTTATGCACGAATATTTGATATTGGACGTGAAGAACATGATGTACTTGATTCATCAGCTATGAGTGATAAAGATGGACAAAGATTTTCACCAAATGATGAACGTGCATGTATACGTTTTCCTATGGATAAAGGTATTGCTGGTTATGTAGCAACAACTGGCAAAACATTAAATATTGTTGATGCTTATAGTGACAAGCGGTTTAATCGGTAATAATAAATAATCAATAAAATGATTAAATTATTCTTTTTTTTTTGTTTTTATAGAGATATTGATCAAAAAACAGGTTATAAAACCAAAACACTTCTATGTATGCCAATTATGATTCAAGGAAATGTTATTGGTGTTGTTCAAATGGTTAATAAAAGAAATGGACATTTTACTAAAAGTGATGAAGAATCATTTGAAACATTTGCTGTTTATTGTGGACTTGGTAAATGAAAAATATTCACTTTTGTGAAACATGATCTAAAACAAATATCGAAATATATAGAATAGAACTTTGCATCTCCACAGGTCGTGACAGATGATAGCGAGAGATCAACATAGGTGTTGTTAATATACAATCACAAACTGTATATCAATAACGTCTCATTAAATTACTTTCTCACTATATTTTTGGTTGATTAAGTAAAAGGAGAGTGAAGGAATGTGTTCTCGGATAGATAGAACTAGGAATGCACCAATTCCAATTCCGACCAATTCCAATTCCTAGAATTGTCGGAATTGGTCGGAATTGGAAATGGAATTGGTTGGAATCGGCTGGAATTAGAATTGGAATCGATTGGAATCGGCAAGAATTGGGATTGGAATTGGTTTGGAATCGATCTAAAAAAATTGGTGATCGATCGACGATTTCTCAAAATATGTGCGAAATCAATGATTTTAAAAAACCCAATTCCGACCAATTCCAATTCCAATTCTTGCCAATTCTAACCAATTCCAATTCCGATTCCAGCCAATTCCAATCCCAATTCCATCCGATTCCAACCAATTCCGATTCCAATTTCCAATTCCAATCAATTCCGCCAATTCCTAGTGAAGAATTGGAATTGGAATTGGTTGGAATCGGAATTGATGCATCCCTAGATAGAACTAAGCAATCTTCTTGTGATTAGCAACAAGAGTTACATCGTGTTTAACATGTTGATCCCCCTTCTTCTCAGGAATTATGCTAAAAGTTGTTTTTTGAAACATTCAATATTTTATTAAATTATTTTAGCCCTACATCACGCATCACTTTATGATCGTATACGTCGTTCAGAACAAAAATGTAAAGTAGCACTTGAAGTTTTATCATATCATGCATCATGTACCGATGAAGAATATGAACGTATGAAAACTTATACACTTCCAGACAACATTCCTAATATAGAACGATTTGAATATTCTCCATGGGATGTTGTCAATGATATGAAACCACTTTATGTCATTTATATGTTTCTTGATCTAGCTAATATGGATCCATTAAATGCAAATCGGTAAAAAAGAAAAATTCTACCATTTAAAATTCAAAATTTTTATTTAGATTTGATTCCGAATGTTTAATGAGATTTGTATTAACTGTACGAAAAAATTATCGAAATGTACCATATCATAACTGGTCACATGCATTCAGTGTTGCACATGCAATTTACACTGTGATAAAACAAACAAAACATCAATTTTCACCAAATGATGTATGTTTTTTTATTAGCAAAATTTGAACATTTAAAAAAAATATATATCTTTTCTTCGTTTAAAAGTGATGAATAAGAAAAAAAAACATGTCTTGAGTTTTTCATCGGTTAGATTATTTCAATAATGATCAATTATGTTAAGGGATTTATTCCATCGCGAAAATGTGTTGTATAAATCTATTTTAAAAGAATTATCATTAGTGAAATAAATGCTAGATGAATGGGAAACAAACTGTTTTCTAGTGTAAGAAATTACGGACAATCATTAAAAATAATTGTGATGTGTTCAGAATACTAAAAATGACTTTAGGTAGTTGGAAAATATCAAGAAGCATTAGATGTGATAAGAAATAAATCAAAATCTTTGATAACCATTGAAAATCATTAGTGATTAGGTCAAATAGCGAAGTTTTGATTTGTGTTGATTTTCTCGAACTCAATGGTTTCTAAGGATTTTTGATTATTTCTATTTGTATAAATCACTAGAAATCAAAGAAAACGAAAAGTCAAGAAATCCGTTTGTTCCGTCTTGAATTACACTAGACACGAAGGATACAAACTAATCGTATTTTTGGCTATTGTGGGACTCGAAATATTTTGCTAATATATTACTATCCATACGGTCTTTCATATTTTCCTTCTTGAATGCTCAGTTAGAAAAGAATGCATCAATCTGTTTGCTTTCGGTTCTTTTTAATTTAAATGTTAGTTGTTTAAAATTTTCAAGTATTTTTAAAAACTCCTGCATGTATTCGATCGTACATCTCTCTCTCATACACATTCTCGACTTTATTCGCTCATAAATTTATCAAGTCAGAAGAAAATATCTTAATGAAGGAAAAGAAAATCAATAAGTGTTTCTATTGGATCATGATCAAGATTTGGAGTAATTATACCATAATGTTTAGGTATGTTTCAGAGTTTCAAACAGGTTGACTTTATACAGCTCCAGTTTGTCTATTTTTTTTCATGCATATATCATGATAAAAAAAGGGAGTTAAATATTAATCTTGACAGAGTCTAACAAGTTACTGAAATCAATTTTCATGGCTACAGTAAAAACGCTCGAGTACGAACATCCAAGGGAACAGTTAAAAAGTGTTTCCTTTTTTATATGTACACAATATCATAAAAGAGTAGGAGTAGAACAGAGAAAAAACAACATTCAGTTTAGATAGATCTCCTTCTAATGATGGAAATGTTTACAATCGAAGGTTTTTCTAATGACTAAAAATTTATGAATTGAATAGCTGAGATATATAAAGAAAACTAATAGATAGAAAGATCGTAATCTTGAGAAAACAAACTGATTTTTGTTGAAGAACATTTTGAATAAATCTGAGAGACAAAAACTGTCACTTCCAGTATTCCAATCAAGGAAGAAACAATAATCAGTAATTGATAAACCTATAGGAGATAAAATCATTTAACCCCAGCAGAATTAACTGGAATAGGAAAAAGACAGCGAGCGAGTCTTGATAAACGTGGACATCTGTGTTGATGACCTTTTCAGAATAGTAATGGATTTTATTGTTTATAAGTGTCTTCAATATTCATTCTGAAATATTTACCTAATTCTTCATATTTAAATGTCATCCTAGAAAATTAACTCAATTGCATCTTTTCGCTAGTAATATGTGCAATTTATGAGGTAATCCACTAAAAGATAGAGAGGCTTAGCAATCTGTTTCGGACTCTGATATGTAAGGTAATGGAAAAAAGTTTAACAGCCGCGTGTTTTTTATTTGTTTTTGTCATGTTAAACAATCAAGTCCAATTCGAATAATGACTTTAATAGCCAATGAAGTCTTCTATCTAAGACATTCTACACCAAGATTTCATAAACAAACTATGATAGTGAAGTTTCTCAAACACTGAACACAGTAGCTTTTGAATCTCACAAGACTTTTTTGAAGCTATTCTTTAATAAAATTATTTTAAAGAGCATAAAACTCTTAAGAAAATGTAAGATCGCTACATTTCCTACGACCTTTCCTTAATATCTTAAAAGCATCATAAATAAAAAAACCGAGTGAAAAAGCCCTTTTTCTAGGTTTTGTAATTGTTTTTAAGTTTTTAAGGAAAGTTTGTAGAAAATATGGCGAGCTCAAATTTTCTTCAGAATTTTGTATTCTTTCAAATGACATTGTTAAAAAAATAGCTTTGACAAAATCTTCTCGAGCCTAAAACTTACCGTATTCGGTTTCTCATGAAAATCTTCGCATCATAGTTTATCTATGATGCCTTAGTATAGAATCCATAACATAGAAAACTCCATTGGTCATCAACTACGATTGCTATCTAGATTTGATAGATCTACTCGATGCTATTGAAAAAAATCAATCGTACATTTTTTGTCACACTTTTCCCCAGAATCTTAGAATGTCAGATTCAATACAATTTCAAAATACTGACGTAAAACTATCTGATCATAAATTAGAAAATTTTTATGTTTAGTGTATTGCTTTGTTTGTTGCTTGCCTCTGTCATGATCTTGATCATCGTGGTAAGACAAATGCTTTTATGGTAAAAAGTGCATCCACATTAGCTTCAATTTATACAACTTCAACTATGGAACGACATCATTTTAATCAAACAGTCACAATACTTCAAGTAAAAAAACATAGTTTGTTTCATATAAAGAACTAATTTAATTTCTTTTCTTTGTTTATTAACTTAACTATTTTAGACTGAAAGTCTTAATATATTTAAACACTTTTCTTCCAAAGAATATCGACAAATGTTAGATGAAATTCGTCATTGTATATTAGCTACTGATCTGGCACTTTTTTTTGAAAATCGTCCTAAACTTGAACGTATTGTTGATAATAATGAATTCGATTGGAATAACAAGGAACATTTGTGAGTTGCTAAATTAATCTATTTTCCATATGATGACCAACAAAAAAAAACAAGGAATTAATTTTTTTTTAAAATTTGCTGCTACTGATCACCCTTTGTTTTTCTTCTATTTCCTCTAATCCTCTGTTGCTAATTGTGTTCGTGTGGTGATAGTGCCTATTTCTTGTGTCATTAGTTTTTTGAGTGTGTGTGAAATTTACACACACATATTTCACACTTATCATAGTTTGACACTTGTGAACAAAACTATAACTAAAAAAACGAAGTATTTACTGGATAATGAGTAACATACACATTTTCCCCCTTTTTTTTTGATTTTATTTCACACATTATTCTTCTGATTGCTGTGCTTTTATCTATAGGCTATACGTGATGGGGCTCAGTATGACCGCTGCTGATTTATGTTCTTCATATAAACGATGGGAAGTGCAGCGGTCGAATGTGAGCATCATCATGGAAGAATTCTTTCTGCAGGTGATTTCATTGTTTCATACTTCTCGATGCTTTCTTTGTCTTTTTTCCTCTCTCTGTGTGTATATTTATTAATATTTCACAAGAAAGCAGCACTTATTAACTGAAATACATATCAATATTAACCCAATCACTATCACCACCAGCACATTACTTGAGGAGAGGAAGAAGCGGCTAATGAAAGCTTTTATTCTTCTTTACTGTTTTTTATTTCAATGTACAAAAAGACCAAAAAGAATCTTTTCCATTGCACTCACAGAAAAATCCATTGTACTTTGATGCTCCATTGTCTGTATTTATGTCTTTTATGCTTCCAGTCGACGCTTGCAATCATTATCAATGACATCTGCCGACTTATGCGCCATGTATAAACCGTGGCATATACAACAAAATATTGTCAGCGTTATTATGGACGAGTTTTGGGAAGAGGTGTGCTTTTTATATGTATTTGTAACTGCTGCTTTCTGCTAACTAATAATAATTAGAAAGAGAGAAATATGAAATTTGTTTCTTATTTTTATTATTATATTTTGTTTTCACACAGGGTGATGAAGAAAAACGTAAAGGTATTCAACCACAATCATTAATGGATCGATCACTTGCACATGAGTTGCCAAAAAATCAGGTAATTTGGTCTTTTTTTCGAGACAGTAAGCTCTATTATGAAATAATAAACTAACTGCTAGTCTCTCGCTTAAAAAAAACCATTCCAAGCTTTTAATTAGGTTCTCTAAGTAAAAAGGTCAGTTTTTGTTAGAACAATCGATATTGAGATAAATGCATGAAAAATAACCAGAAGTTTGATCTTGCATAAACAAATCGTTTTGTATTGGGCATTTTGTTTTCTACCAAAAATTTTTCATGATTTCAATCAATATCTGCTTGAGGTTTTTCTTCACTGTTTTGATTGCACATTCCCGAATTCTCATAGGAGCTTAACTGTAGCTAAAGGTGATTGCTTTTATTTGAAAAAGCATTTGAAGCTACAGTGACTGGTAGTGTCTATTTTTTGAATTAAACTCTTTCAATATGATACAAAAAAAAACTTCTGTAAATTAGAGCGCCATTTCTATTGAATATTTTTCGAGACATTGAGCTTGGCATCTTCTTTTGTTCTCATAAAGAATAAGAATTTAATAACCAGAGCTCTACCAGACCCAAGAATCTGACATATTCTTTCAAATGAAAAATAAAATAAAATATACAGAAGAAGAGGTCACCGAGAATAAGTGAGCTATTTTGAGCCTTGTTTGTTGAATATCTTCCGAAAATATCATGATATAGAGCTGTAAATTTTATACGATTTGAATGCATTTGGTCTAAGATCGATTTTTGAGGATGACTTAAATTGTCGATATAACCATGCTTCCGAGAAGAAAACAGCGGATTTCAAGCCCGAAGACTTACTGTCTCTCTCAGATGTTACTCATGTCTTGAGAATAAAGTTGATCTAATGAGGTATCCTATGTTAACTCGAGGGTAGGCTCAATATTTTTTTAGATCCTCATGCGTATGTTAAAATAAGAGAAGGTGAGGGTTTGAATGTCACTTGGATGAAAGATAGTTAGTGTCTCTTCTGTCAAACTCACACCTTGCAATGTGTAACAGTCATCAAGATCAAAAACATTCACAACTTATGAAAAAACAACGTGCGAATGTTTATATTCATCAAAATGTAACCTTCGAAAGAAAAGATTGTGATCTGGTTTGCTGAAAAATAAAGTTTCATGATGAAGCAAAAAAGTTTCACAAAAAAAAAATTTTCGCTTTGAACTTCTTCACTATTGTAAATGTTTAATAGACATATAACCCAAGTTGCTAGAGGTGAAAGAAAATTTTATCAGATGCTACCTAATCTAACTTAGATTTTTCGTAAAGTTCTACTTCAATGCACTGATGATGTACACTTCTACAGTTACTTTGATGTTTTCTCAAAAATATTTCTAAGTTCGCTTGATTAAAAATATGTTCATATTATATGCCGGAGGCGGCAAATAATATTAGCATTTGTACCAAAAAATGTAATGCGCTGCTCAAATTTATTAATCTGATGAAAGGAATAAAGTATTTGAGTCTACCCTAGCCTATGAAGCATGAATTAATGGTAGGTTTTCGTTTTTTCCAAGCCTTTTGACTCCATCGCCTATGCTTATTGAACACTAGTTGATAGTAGACAAAATGCAGGCTCATCGTGTAACAAAGCGTCGTTTGTCTGAAGAGAATGAAAACCAAGCAGTAATAGAAAAAATTAACAATAATTACAGCTTATGCAAAACTTTATCTGTCCTATCGCCATGGCTAAGTGGTTATGTTATTCGGTATATGTTCACAAGGTGCTGTGTCCAAATCTGAGTATCATTACCGATGGAATGACCTTGGACAAGTTACTAACAATTGTTTGTTTTGGGTGATCCGTCCAATAGCATGCAGCCTGCATTGTGCCATACGCTTGCTTTTGTAGCTATCATGTGTTCAGGAAGTATGCATGGGAAGCTCGAGTCATTAAGCACAATAGCTCTGTGTTAGGTCGGCCTTTTATACAGAGTTACAGCTAGTATTAGTTATAAGAAATATATTGAGCTATTCAATCTGCCACTAGACAACACTCTGATCTCCAAGCTTACTTAAAGATGGAAGTATTTTTCATTTCTTTACTTATCCTAGCGCTAATCTACTCAGATCTTGCGGCCTCATTGTCTATAATACTAATTACTTGCAATATTTTGCCGTTCGAAATTTTGATAGGCAGATAAGGATAAGATTTTGGAATTAAAACTCAGTTAAAACATGTTCTTATTTAATATCTAATAAATTTCTTTTTAATTTTGTTTCCAGGTGAACTTTATGAAAAGCATTTGTATACCGTGCTATTCATTAATAGTACGCGTTTTGCCAGAAACAATACCAATGCTTATCGGAGCCAAGTATTAATAAATATGAAAGGATTCTTTTCTTATAATTTGTGCTTGTTTTCTTTCTTCAGAAGTAACCTTCAACAATGGCAAGATTTAGCTGATGAAAAACAACAAATAACTCGTACGAATTTAACTGCTATATCTTCTGGTAAAACATCAGATGATACATCTGATTCTTCTCGAACTTCTTCAGCTAACAAGACTCGTCAGCCAGCATCGTCGTGATATACTTTTGTTTCTCTCGAACGGTTTGTTTTTGCTACAAAAGAAATAAAATATTTTCAAAAAAAAAAACAATGTTCGTGTGTATTTTATTCTCTCGTTGTTTTTGTGTTTATTTTCTTCCTTATTATTATTTTTTCTTTCTTTTTTTATATAAACAACACAAAACAATGTTGATTTAAGGCTTCTAACTGCATCATTCTCCAAAAATGAACGTATTCTTTATTTTCACATAGAGACAAATGACAATGACGATACATCTTTTCTTTTATGAAAAAACACACAAACGCAAATGACTAAATACATGTTATGTATAGTGCGACAAGAGAAAGAAAAAAGAAACGAAGAGAAATAAGAAGACAATGTTTTGTTTCCTTTTCATCAAAGAATTACTGAAATAATAATAACAACAACAACAAAAACAAAACAAACAAAAGTTGTCTAATATAATTTTATTTTTTTTTTCAAATATGTCAATATGTGCGTATGCGTGTAAGAGAGTAGAGCAAAAGAGGGAGAAGGAGATATGCAATAGTGCGGAATTAGTCAGCACAAGAGAAATGATGCTTAAAACATCAAATAGAGCAGAAAAGAAAAAAAAAAAAAGAGAAGCAAAATAAGAAAACAAAAAAGAAAGAAAGAAAAACAAATAAATGAATGTCTATGATGACGAAGGTTCATCATTATCATCCATATTTCTTGTCGATGGTGGTGTGCGTAAATCGACAAGACCTTTTTCACGTATTACTTTTAATGCAGCCTGTTCAGCAGCACGTACAACATCTTCACTATGATCAACTAATGATATTATATTAACACCATCCCATTGAACACCACATGAATTCAATAATTCATGAACCTTGAATTAAAAATTCAAACAGATAAATCATGAATTCTCTTATGTAATTTTGTAATAAAAAAAAAAAAAACTTGTCATCACAATCTTAAGTCCGTCGGAACATTCCAAGCCGTGCCGAAAATTTTTGGAATGTATCTCATGGGGTTCAAGACTGGCAAACAGTTTGTCCCAGAAGACTCTATGAAAATTTGTTCAGGGCTAAAAAGCTTTATTTTTGTCAGCATTGTTCCTATTCATTTTTTTCTTTGAATTTTTGTTTTCCGCTTTTCTTAATTTAACATCATTATTCTAGCTATTGGCTTAGCTGGCGGAGAAGCCTATTGTATCTATCCATCATGTTTATACTCAGGTCTCAATACACTATTATATATCTCAATGAGCTGAAGAAAAACAGAGAAGGCTTTCAAATATTTTAGAAAAGTCTAAATCTTGGGTGTAGATGCTTGAGTCCCACTAAAAAAAGGGTACTATCTGGATAATTTTTAAAAGTACGGAGGGCTACTTTCTGTTAATGAATTTCAGAAACAGGGAGGCATCATACGTCTCCTCCCAAAATAAGTTATGCCTGTGAGAAAGACGCGACAAATTGTTTACATAAGAAAAAAATCAAAATCTTACATCACTGTCTGTAACAGGTATTTCTTGTGTTCCACCTGATGTTGTTTCAAGTAACATTCGTACATCAAAACCAGCTGCTTGTTCATCATAATGTATAGCTGGATGTTTACCACGATAAAATAAAATTCTAGCTCGTTCATTTGCTTCACGCCAACTAAGACCACGAGCAACACGATGTGATGATGAACTACTATTCATTGTTTGATCCCCATTTACTGATGTTGATAAAAACCGTGAAGATTCATCATTTGAATGTTTTGATGTTCCATAAGCACCTGCACGTGGTGGTAATGAAACATACATTTCTTTAATAACTAAAGCTAAAATATAGGCAAAAAAAAAAAAATATGAAAATGATTTTCTTCAAAACAAAGAAAAATTACGTTTTCCATCTAGTCGATCTCTCATTAAAGTTTGTACTTCTGGTTTATCAATATCATCAAATTGATTAGTAGCATGTGCTTGTTCAATAACATCAACGATTTGTTCAATTAATTTTTCATGATTATGTTTAAAATCTTTTTTTAATTTATCTTTTAAATCATTGTAAGTTTTAAATTCTCCAATTTTTTTTTCTTCTAAATAATGAAATGTTTTATTAACATATGTTTCAATTTGATTTTCATTATATAATGGTTTATTATAATCATATAATAAATTTGTTATTGATGAAATAATTTTCTTTCGATTTGTCTGTATATTTTGTTTAGCACGTTCAGTTAATAATGATGATGCGCGTCGTTTTCCATTAGCACTAATAACATTAATTGATGTTAATTCTTGTTGATTTGTATTTGGTGATTGTTGTAATAATAATAAACCATCTTTTTGTGCTTGTTTTATTAATTCAATTGAACGATCACATAAATCATGTGCTTTAGAAAATTCACGTCGTAATTGTGAATTTAATTCATCCCATGAATAGATTAAATTTAATGACAATAATTCTAATGCACGATTTAATATTTTTTGTAATTCTTTTGTTTGTTTTTTTGTTATTTTTTTCGTTTTTAATTCATTGTCAATTAAATATTGATTTAACCATTGTAATTGATTAGTTTTTAATAAATTATATTCTTCTGTTGTTAATAAATTTGTTTGATTATATACTTGATTATATAAATTAGCTGTCTGTGTTATATTTGAATCTAATATATCAAGATTAATTTTTTCATTCATTTGTGTTATATCACAATGATCAAATGTATCACGTATGATATCAATTATTGGATCAACAAGATAAAATGTCTGTTTATATTCGGTTTTTAAATCATTACGAATTTGTTCATAAGAAAGAATTTTTGGTTGATTTAGAAGTGTTAAACTTTTACGAATTATTTTATCGATTTCTTTTGAATGTTCAGAAAACAGTCGTATTGATGGTTGACTTGATTGAATATGATCACGTAAAATATTACCTAATTCATTACGATGTGTATTTAATTGTAAACGACGACGTTCATCAAGTAAACCAGTATTTGTTGTTGTTGTGCTTGTTGTTTTAGGCGTTGTTGATGAAGTTTTGTTTTTCGATTTTGAATGACCACATGTTAAACATGAACTTTTTTTCGACTGATCTTGAGATATTTTAGTAGGTTCTCTATAGTAATAATAAGAAAAAAGCTTTTAGTATAATTCCTTCGGGACTGAAATATGAATATATGATGTAGCGGCTATTACTAATCATAAGGAACTTGTTTTATTCGATTTATTTTTTGACACATTTCTTCACCATCGTATATTATTTAATTCACCACAAATGCAATAAGGAAGTAGTGATTAAATTATAGCGAGAAGTTATTCATTTACGATCTGTAGTCGTCTATCAATAACATCCATCATGACAGACAGACAGACAGATTATCAATAGTGACAGAAGAAGAACAAATATAAACATCAGAATTAACAAAGAAACATTTTCAGTTGGCTTCCTTGTGTCTTTAACGACTTTTTTGTCTATAGATACTACATAGTGTTCTAACAAAAATTTTCAGAAGATTTGGATTGGATTAAACTATCGAGTATTTTTCTAGAGATCGCAAATTTTCGTAAAAATTGCATTTGCGAATTTTGATCCGAAACTTTGCATATAGAGAACGCAATTAGACAAAATCTTATAAAAACAATTCAGAAGTTTTGAAGCAAGCCTCTTTGAGAAATAGACTATGCATTTAAGAAAGCTTTATATCTTGAAGAACATTTGTTCAAAATTTGTCAATTATTTTTATGAAAACTATTCTAGCTGAGTTTTCTATATGCACGAAGTTTTAGATAAAAATTCGAAAATACGAGCTATCCAAAAATTTAAGGCCTCTAGAAAAAAAACTCGATAGCTTAATTAAATCCAAATCTTCTTATGATTTTTCTATAAATAAGAAATCTTTAAAATCGGAAGGAACCAGCTGAAGAGATACTCTTGTAAATACAGAACTAAAAAGAAAAACAACAAATAAAAAAAATTTAATAGGACCAAAAACAATAGATTGGCAGACGAAGAATGGCAACTAAACTGAAACAAAACATAAAGAGTGAAACCAGTGCATCACTTTTAGATCATGTAAACCTAGAGTATAATATAAGCAGATCTACTTTCAGTGACAATCATCATAAAAAAAAAGTAATCTAAACTTAGATCTAGGTCAGTAAGACCAAAGTCTTTGTTCTTTCAGCTATGATTTAGCACATGCGTTCATATACATTATAGCTCCTTTTTGTTTTTCGTTAATAAATCTTCTATTTTTGAAGTAGTGATTTCTTGTATTGATGTTAAGACAATGTAACAAAGACTACTTTCTGTTAGAGAATTATCTAACGAATGTTACGTGTGTGGAAGATCTGAATCTCTCTAGTTCAATAATACCTTTCTAGAGTCGTGTTTTACAAAATATATTATAAATAATGATTTTCTAAATAACCTACTTTGTTACATCTTTGTTAATTTGTGCTACTGTCTCAAATGTTTGTTTAGCTGGAAGACGAACCATCTGTTAAAATAAAAATAAACAACAAATGAACAACAGGAAAAAAAAAATGATGAATAATAACTTACATCACGAATAGCCAATGGAAATTCTGGTTTATCAAGATTATCTAAACCTTGTTTTTCAATAGTGAAATAAAGTGAACGTACAACAGGATCAACAATAAAAGCATCATTTTTATGTTCAACAATTAATTTTTGTTTTAATTCAGGATATGTTGTTACTTTTTTCTCGTTAATTAAATCAATAGCATGTGTAAGTATTTTATTTAAAGCTTTATGATCTTTTTTTGTATCGAAATCATCAATTGATTTTGATATTTCATCTTCTAAACATTTTTTTAATTTATCTTGTCGAAATAATAATTTAGCACGTAATTCATCATTCATAGTTATTTTACGAGTAAAATCATGTTTTAATAAACTATTATCAACTTTTGATTCTGTTGTTAAATTTTCTTGTTGAATATTAGGTAATGTTGAATCTTTTGTTATTACACTATCAATTAATTCACTACCTAAACCTGAACTAAGTGATGGATGTTGATTAAGATCTTCAATTGTTTGAGTTGTGCCAAATGTTGATGATGGATGCATATGAGATGAAATTATTGCTTCAAGACCACTGTCTGAACGAGATTGTGTTGTTGTTTCTTCTTGTTTTATTGATGATATGTACGCATCAGTTTTTGGTGGACTAGATAAATCAAGTTCCGGAATATGTAATGCTGGTGCTTTTATTTCAAATGATGGAACTTTTTTCGATTCAGTTTGGATATCCTACAATAAATATACAAAAAAATTTTCACAAATGTTCATTTAAGAAATATTCTATTTAATAAAATCTTATTCTTTATTTACTTTAATATCCATTTTTCTAGCCGAATTGAAGAATTATTTTTCTCAACTAAAAATTATTTTTCTTGTTCATATATTATCTCTCCTTGGTTTAGATAATATCTGTTACAAAGTATCAACAAGAAAGAAACCTTTGATAAGCTAATTCATAGTAACATAATGTCTTAGATAACATAAATACTACTGAAAATGCCAAGCTCTTTATTCTATGTGTTCTTAGTTGTATCGAGGTCATGTCTTCCATTAGGGGATATCCTCGTAGAAAAATCCTTGCGTCAAGAGAAATAAAAGACTAGAAGCATTATATATGCTTATAAACTCCTGCTGTGTTTCTATTATTTTCATGGCCTTCATATATAATTAAATGAGTGAAACTAGAGTGTTGATTATCACGTCATTAAGGTTAAACATACTTTGATTTCTTCTACTGATTGCTTTTCAATAGGAGTTGTTGTAGTAATTGATTCAGTTTTAATGTCTTCTATTACTGGTGCTTCGATAACAGTTGGTGGTGGAACATTAATTTGTTCGTCTAATTGTTTTTCAATAACGATTGATGAAACAGTAGGTGATGGAACATCAATTTTCTCTTCAATTTGTTTTTCTAAAACCAATGGTTGCACTAATAGTTCTTCATCAGTTTTAACTTCAATTGAGCGAATAATATCAGTGTGTTGTACATGAACATCCTTTACTGCTGTTGTTGTGGTAGTGGTAGTAGGTAAAACACCTTCTGAACTTGTAACAACTGGTTGTGATAAAACAATTTCTTCATTAACAATTGGTTTTTTTGGTGCTTGTCGTTTTTTTTCATTTGTATGAATTGTTGGTAAACGAACTGATTCTGTTTGAGGTAATGTTAAATCAACGCTTGGTAAATCATTACTTGGTGCACGTAATGAACCTTTTGTTTTTAATGTTGAAGATATATTTGATGATGGATTAGGCATATTAACTTCTGGTAAATCAGTTTTAGGTGCAGCAATAGTTTGTGTTTTATTTTTTTGTACATTTGATTTATTACCAAAACATGAACAAAGTGCAAGTGTTGATGATTTTTTTTTAATTTCAACTTTTGGTTCAATCTTTTGTTTCTCAGTAGATTTGATTGGTGATGTTGAAATTTCAATAGCTGGAACAATTTGTGATTTATCTGTTGGCAAATCATTTTCAAATGATGGTGGAGATAAACTTATATCTCTTGATAAAATTGGAATAGGTTCTGTTGAAGGTATTTGAAATGTAAAATCAGGAAGTTTTGGTATAATTTCATTATTTTCAGTTGTTTGTTTCTTAATTAAAAAAAAGAAAAAAACAAAATTTAAAAAATAGAAATTCTTTATGTATAAAAATTTACATTAATTATTGTTGGTAATTCCGGTGGTTGTACAAAATGTGTATCCGTAATCGTATATTTTTGTTCAGTTGATAATAATTCTGGTTTAATTATGGTTTCAGTTTCATCCGAAGGTATTTTAGGTAATTCTGGAATTGTCTAAAAGACCAAAAGAAAAATTAATAAATCTCTACTTTATGATCTTACTGAATCTATTTCAATAGGAAAATTTTTTTCGTCAGTTTGAATTGCAAACGAATCATTAATAGGTGATGTTAATGCTAAATCATCTGTAACTGTTGGTAATTGTTCTATTTTATTATCATTTTTAAGATCAAGAGACAATGAAACTTGAGGTAAAGTTTCTTTTTCCGATTTGAAATGTATTTCGGGTAATTTAATATTTTCTTGTTCATTTGAATTTAATTGAAGATCAGGTAATTCAATATTTGGAACTTTTAATGGATCAATTGTTGTATCAATAGTTGATTTATCATTATCGGGTAAATTTAAATTAGGTACTGGTGGTAAATGAACAGCTGGTATTGAAAATTCTGATGATTGTTTTATTTGTCCACTTGTCATATCAACTTCAGGTCGATCATAATTTGGTAATGATACATTAGGTTTAGGTAAATCAATATTTGGTACATGTAATGGATCATTGTCATTTGTATGTATTTCATTTGTTCGTGTTAAATCTTGTTCAACTGATGGTAAATTAAGTGCTGGTGCTTTTGATTTACGATCACCATGACGAAACAATGTTGAAAATAGACCTGATTTTTTTTCAGTTTTAACTTTTGGTTCTTTAGGTTTTTTAGTTTTAGATTTTTTTGTTGGTAACGTATATGAACCTTTTTTAGTTGATTCATTTATGTCAACATTTGGCATTGTTTCTGGTTTTGTTGTTATTATTGATTCAATTTTTTGTTCTGTTGTTGATTCAATTTTTTGTTCTATTGTTGATTCAATTTTTGGTTCTATTGATGGAATAATATCATCAACAGGTTTTTTTATTTCGACTATTGGAATTTCAGGAGATATTTCACTTGTAAGAATCTTAAGAAAAAAAAATCAAATAAATAACATGCAATGAAAAAGTCTTGACAAATATGTTAAATCCTATTTGACTATATGAGTAAATAGGTCTAAAGAAATTCTTGCAGCTTGGAACGTTTTTATTTCTCAATTATGTTTAATAATAAAAATACATCAAAAGTTTTATCAATATTGACTTTGGTAAACTTTCTTTTGAATAGAGGCTTTTGCAAGAACAATCATTTTGAAAAGACATCAAACACAATATTCTGAAACCATGCTTTTAACCTGGATTTTTTTGTAGGTTATTTGTTCGAAATATTTCACATTATAGGAACTTAGTAGAAAAAAAATCAGAAAGAGCTATAAAAATCAAAGTATTAATTTACCTTTGAATAAATTATTAGAAAAAGGAATCTTTACAATACAAAAATCATCATTAAACATATATTTTCGTTTCATTCCTCATATAAAAAGTTTGATCTTGCGCGAACGTGAAGTTATAAGAACTTTTATGAAACACGATGTAAAAGGAATGTTGAGAATTAGGACAACGATATTTATCTATTCATCTAATGTCTCATTTATTTTTTTATCATCCATTGCTTATATATATAACGTGAGAATAAGAAAAGAGATGATATCGAGACCAAGGCTGGAGATAATCTAAACATGAAGACAGATACGATAACTTGATTAGTAATACGTGGTCACTATACAACGAAGGAGACGACAAGAGAAGGATAAAAAGACATGCAAACACAATCAACGAAACCCAGGAACATAAAATATGACAATACTTCACGAATCAACAGGGAGCATCACACTAGGAATCGTCACAAATCATGATAGACGCTATCGAGGGATGGTCACAGACACCTTAGGAACGTCCTTGCACTGTGTCACAAACTGCATATAAATAGCGTCTCGTTAAACTACTTCCTTATTGCATTTGTGGAGGATTAAGTAAAAAGATAGCGAAGAAGTGTGTCTCGGAATAGATAGAATAAAGCAATTTCCTTGTGATTAGCAACAAGAGCTACATTTTATTTCAGATTATAATCCCAACGGGATTGCATTAATAGCTTTTCTACAGGTTTTTCGTTTTTCTTCCTTCTTAGATTGGTTCGATACAAAATTTAGCAATCGGATAATACTCTTTCTAACAAAGTGAAAAAAATTGATTGTTGTAGAAGTCCGTAATATTGTCTAATAGAAATTTAATATATTTGTAAAGACTTTTATATTGCATGCTAATTGAAAAATTAGAAAAATGAATTTTTACTTTCTCTTCTGTATTTATTGGACTAGTTTCAATTGTTGGTAATGGACTAGTCTGAGTTGTCGGGATTTGACTAGTTTCAAAAGTTGGCATTGCACTAGTTTCAATTGTTAGTGTTTCAGTGAAACGAGGAGTATCATATGTATTTGGTTCCGGTATTGAATATTGAGTTGGCGGCACAGGCTCGCTTGATGGTAATTGATAATGTGGTTCTTCAATTGGTACTAATTTTTCAACAGTTGCATCTAGGCGATCTTCTAATTTTGGAAGAGTCTGTAAAAAAAACAAGAATTTTTACAAGTTGAGTTTTCTTTTATTTATTTACCACAGTAGTTTCGTCTTGAATTTTATCGATTTCAACATTAGGTAAAGTAATTTGTTCGTCTGTTCTTGGTGGTAATACTGGTATTGGTATTGATTCAATCGTTGGTGTTGATAAGATAGCTGTTGTTTTTGGGATATCATCTTTTTTTTCTTGTTCAATTACTTTCTTCTGTTCAATAGGTGCTGGACGGGTTTCAGATGTTAATTCTTTTTTCTTTTTTTCAGCTGCTTTTGCACCAAAACATGATGCACATAAACCACCAGTTGATTTTTTAACTTTAGGTGTTTTTTCAGTTGTAGTTACTTCTTTTGTTTTTTTATGTTTTTCTTTTGTTACAGCTGATGTTGGTAATAGTTCTGGTTTAACTAATTCAACTTTAGGTAAATCTACACCTGCACCATGTAAATTTATAATTGGCTTTGAAACAGTTGATTCATCAGTTTTTGTTAATGGAACAACAATTGATGTTTTTTCATATTGAACATCAATTGGTTCAATTGTTGCTGGTCGTGCTTCTAAATGTGCTATTGTTTTATGTTCAACAATTTCAGGTTGAGCATGAATTGATTCAACTTTTGGTGTATGTACTTCAATAGGTTTTGTTTGAACATCTAAAGATTGAATTGTTGGTTGTTGTACATCTAATTTTACAAGTGGTTTTTCTTCAATTATTTCCGATTGAATATTCATTGGTTCGATAGTTGGTAAACGTGCTTCTAAATTTACAATTGGTGTATGGTCAATTGCAGTTGATAGTAATTCTGTATTTTCAGGTGTGAGTGATCTTTCATATTCAATGGGTAATTTTGTCTAAATAAAATAAAAATAATCAATATAGAGTCTCATATTCGAGAGAGAAAAAACGTGTGAATAAAATCACTTCTTTTTTTAAAACTAATTACTGAATGTCGAAGGAAATTAGGAATAAATGTGCAGACGAATATGATCTACTCAAGGTAAACATATATACATATGTATATCAACTGGTTTCAAGGATGAATAAGCAATAGGTATGAAAAGGATATAACCGTGCAGAGAAGGTGAATAGATGCAAATAGATTTTTAATGTCTTCTTACAACAGGTAGAACGAATTGAGTATCGAAATCTTTTGGTTTATACGACATATCAAGGCCAGGTCGATCACGAAAAACATCAATATAAATACGTTTACCATCAGGTAAAATCGTATAATCAATTGTAGATTTTTCTTGAATAGGAATATTTATTTGTTGATTATTATCTAGAGTAATTGATGGTTTTATAATTGGTTGTTTATGTTGTTCTATTGATGCTTTTGCTTTTTTATTTCCAAAACAAGAAAGTAAACCAGTTGATTTACGTTTTTTCATATAAATAGGTGTTGTAACATTTGCTTTTGATGATATTTTTATTAAATCATGTTTTTTATCATCAAAATTTTCTTCTGTTTCTGGAACTGTTCCCGTTATGATCTCTTTTGAATATGTACTATTAGTTTGACCTATGCTCTGGAAAAATTTATTGATTTTTTCGTTTAATATATTTCTCTTACATTGATCTTATTATTAAAACAAAAAGAGATAAAAAAAAAAAACTTACTTTATCTGATGTATCAGATTGAACAGTTATTGGTTCATTTATTGCTTCAAATTCATTCTTAACTTTACTTGCTAAACTTTCATATGTTGCTGTTGTCACTGAATAACCAGAATCGGATTGACTAAAATCATTGGTTGATGATTCTTTCATATCACCAGGTGGCATTAATGATCTTCCAATATTAAATTGTAAATTCGAATATTCATCTTTATTATTTAAAATAGCTTCAGTTAATGAGCGAAATTGTTTTTCAGTTAAATCAAATCTTGGTTCAAATGATTGTTGTAATTGATATATAAATGGTTGTGATAAATGAAATTTTTCAAATGAATTTGTTTCAGCAAGATTAAAATCAGTTAAATATTGACCTGAACGTTTAATACGTATTAAATTCCATGTTGATTCATCATCATATGATAATGGACGAAATAAATTTTTCATACGTTGAATTGTATCATTTGATAAACCTAATTTTGGATCATCAAGATGAATATATTCATAGGCTATTGCTTCAGCTAATGTTATTGGTCTATGTGGTGATATATCAGCAAGCATTTTTATTAATTGTTCTTCATTATAAATAGGTAAACGTTTCTTTACATTATCGGACATGTCGATATCTTTCGTGTGAACTAATGCTTGTTGTTTTTCGTGATCGTCGTCAACTACTAAAAATAGAATAAAAAAATGGTTTCTTCTTTTATTGTATTCATTTCTAAAAATGCATTATTCTGTTTTTTTTTTCTTTCGCTCTCTCTCTCTCTCTCTCCATCGTTTTTTATGTATATTTATACAAAAGAAACCAAGGGAGTTGTGCGACTAATGTTCTTCGTTCTATGTGGAGAGGCAAAAAAATGAAAGAATATGCAAGTGAAATTGAGACATTACTAGGCATCAAACATTGTTATGTGTGTAAAGGTGAAAGTAAGTACGTAAACGATCAAAACAGGTAAAATAATCAACGGCATCATAATTCAATTTTTTAACCTTCATTTTCAACGATTTTCGCAATCAATAACAATGAATTCAAATAATTATCCTAATGAAATACCTACCAATACTCCAAGCAAGAGAAAATATTGGAGTATATTTCATCGAATATTTAAAAATTTACACGCGACACCATTTATTTATACGGATGAACTCAAACAATACTCGATTAATGGGTGTTATATCAACAACAATAGACGAACAGTTATAACAAAGAAATAAAAAAAAAAGCGGAATATGTAGGACTATTATCTAATCTTGAACATATATTTGTACTGTATAATGTACTATATATACTTTTTATATGTGTGTATAAATACATCATATTCGTTCCTATGCTGAATATTGACATATATGAGTAGTAGGATGATGAACAAGGATCAATAGAATAGTGTGGTAAAGGCCGATTATTCACAAGCAATCGAATGCTCAAGAATAAAATCGTTGAACTTGTTTCTCTTTATTTATTTTTTTTTTTTGTTGTGTAGTTCGAACTGATTAAAACTTACCAGAATTAGAATAACGTCCCGGCGGCATCCCATGGCACTTAGACAAAACGTACCGACGAAATCTCATAGTATCGATATATTGAACTGTCGATGAACGATCAATTTTTTTTCTATTCATATGTCCTTAAACAAACACCTATGTCTAGATGCCTATGTCACCAATGTGTGTGTGTGTCTATTGTTTGTCCAATCATCGATTCGAACTACGGCATGACCTCTCGCTCGTTTGTCAAATTGAATGTATGCAAAAAAAATCCTTTCCTTTTTTTTTCTTCTCCACTATTCTTTTAGTCCTTATTGTTTTTTACCTCGTGATATGATTAATTCATGATGATGATCTTCATCAACGTTTGTATTCAAGATAATTAAGATGATCGAATGTTCTTGTCTAATGGGTAACCATTTTTTTTTTTGTTCTTTCTCTATTCTATTTGCAAAAGGAAATGGTAGAACTATTAACCGCCAGTGATGGCAATCAGCCAACTAAATATTCAATGAGGCATAATGATGCAATCGCAAATAGTAAAAGAAAAAAAATCCATTGGGTAGAGCTTATAGCGATTATCTCCTTGTTCTCTTTTTTTTTTCTCTGATTTATCTATACGATAAGAAAAAAAATGCTTATAGAAAGATCTTCTTTTGATATAGAGACGATGTTATACTAGGGTAAAAACAATCAACTCTTGACACCAAGGCTAATATATATGACAATGATCTAATCATAGACAGAAAAAAAAAATAACCTTTTTCATCAGATTGTCCATGATGTTGTAAACGTTCGAGTGTATCTTCAATTGGTTTAGTAATAACACTAATATTTAGTTGATGATCTCGTTCATTAATATATGTTTGTACAATAGTTATATAATCAATATTTTCCGGAAGATTTTTAATATCTTTTTCATGATGTATTGTTGAAAATGTATTTAATAAATTTGATTGTTTAGTTGTAAATAAATCTTCATATGTTTTAATCATTGGATGTATAAATAAATTTGGTGATAATTGTTCTGAATATTCATTTTTTATTTGTTCAAAAAGATTATTCCATGATGAACAACGATCCTGTTGTAATAAATCAAGTATACGTGATGAAATTTTTCTTCCTTTTATATCTTGTTCATTTGTTGTAAATAATTTTGATGGTAAAAAAATTTTTAAATGTATATAATTAATTAATAAAGATTTTTTATCTTTAATTAATTTTTTAATATCATCCGATACTAATTTTTGACCTTGATTTTGAGATTCACTTTGAAGATTTGTTGATGTAAGTAATGCATTTGCTGTTGTACTTGATGCCTTCTTTTTTTGTTTTGATTTTTGTTCAATTATAGTTGCTGCTTTTTGTTTACGTTGTTCTTCATCATAATCATTTGTTGTATTACGTGTACATGAACATATATTAAGACTTGATTTTTTCTTCTTTGGTTTTGTTGAAATTCGTTTTTGTTCATCAACTGTTGTTGGCTGTTGTTTTTGTAATAATATTGATTGAGGAGAAGATGATGAAGATATTGTTTCACTAACAGGACCACGTCCAACAGTTGTTGCATCAGCTAATGTTTGATCTTGTTTAGATTCTTGTTCATTATTATTAATTGTAGGTGAATGTTGTTTTATTGGACTATCAGATGGAAAATCACCTGATGTAACTATTTCATTTGATGGTTCATAATATTTTTCTTGTACATGTATTAAACGTGGTTGATCAATCCATGATGATGATGATGTTGTTGTTGGTTGTGTATTATATGTTATTTGTGTTGATGATAATAATTTGTTAACATCATCAATACCTAATTCACGTTTAGCACGTTCAAGATCATGTTGATCATTAATTGTTATTGTTCGTGTTATTTCAGTAACTTCAGTTTTAACAACTTTTGTTATTTTATTATGTGTTTCAGGATCTTGTGCAATAGTTTTTTTAGTTTCAATTTTCTTTTTAACTTTACATTCAAGATCTTTATCTTCTTCAACAGTTGTTATAATTTCTTCAATCATACCTTCATCATCGGATTGAATATTTTCATTTTCATCTTCCGGATCACCACGATCAATACTTCGACCACCAATAAAACGTGCTTTTGCTTTATCAAGTTCATTGGTTGCAACTTGTTGAACAATTTCAATGGTTGGTTCCATAATATCTTTTGTTTGTTTTTTAGATTTTTTTTCATTTAATTTTAGTTCTTTATCATTTTCCATGATTCGTTCTTGATTTATTAAATGATAAGATGATAATGGTACATTAACAGTAGATGTTTCTTCTGAGCGAGATTTATCAACGAGAATCCTAAAGAAAAGAAGAAGAAAAAAAAAAAATAACGTTTTGTTCTTTTGCACTTTTACACAAATGTCTGATGATACACGGTACCGATATTCTTTCTTTCTCTTTCTATATGTGTGTCTTTGTGAAACAAATTTCATTTGTAACCAATGATAGGTAATATTATTATTTTAATTTTTCTTAAGAATGTGATAATTTTTTTTTCTTTTTATCAAATATTTTGAATATATGTCGTAATATAAATTTATTGATTATTATTCATAGAATGCTCTTATTTTAGCGACATCTGTGTTTATATAGTAATAAATCAAGGTTATAGAAGAAAAGAAGAAAAATGAAGAACTACATTTTTTATAGTTGTCATATGAAAAAAGTATATACATTAAAATAGAGAATCAATCATGAAAAAACAATTGCTCTTTGTGATAATGTCAAGAGACTATTCTCTTTTGTATGAAATCAAATCACATTGGTTATATATCTATTCGTTTAGTAATACTCTTATTACCGGAAATAGTCAATTTTACTTTTCTTTCCGAACAGAAATCTCCGATTTTTTTTTTAATATTCAAGTATTATTTATATAAACATATCTTTCAAAGCCTAAAGGCTTATTCTAGCCAATACAATTGTTGACCAGCAATAAAGGAAAAAAATGGGCCAGGAAACGGCCTTTCTCTTTATTTTTGCCAAAAGGCATTTCGTCTTATATAGTAGGGCGACAATATCAATCATGCAGAAGAAAAACTTTTTATATGATTGATAACGGTTATGTGGCATAGACGCTTCATGTGTTCATTCTTCAAGAAATAAAAAAAAAGAAGAGGGAAAGACAATACGTCTGTTGTGATACTATTCATTGTCTGACGATTCTATTTCAGTGCTGACAACACACAATTCTTTCCTTATATTACTTTGCTCTCTATTTTCTTCTTGAGTGGGTCCTTGTATATACACATATACACGCCTAAGCGCTCGCGCATCGAGTAAGTGAGTTTGAAATAAATGTGAAGCATTACACACGAATCATTCTTCTTCCTTGCGTATTCTTCGGCTCTCGAACTCCTAATTTGATTGACGAACAATACGTTATGCGTGTGAGCACGCATATGCGACGACCACAATACATATATGTATATATACATATATATATATAGTTCACTTTTCTTCTTATTCATTCATCGGATGAATAAAAACGCAATCAAGTTTATCATCATTAATTTTCTTACCGAAATCGTTTTTTTCGCAATACATAGGGCATTAACTGTTTATGAGTTTTCGGTGTTAGTAATAGTGTATAGGATCCATTTCTTTCAACAACAAGATCAACTCCTGTTAAGTGCATTCGTGTTGTTGAATTATTTGTATCGGTAACAATACCAATTGGTGATGTTTCATTGGATGTTGTTCCTGTTGTTGGTAATGGATTCAAAGGATTATTCATATTTAAATTTGTTGCTGCATTTGGTTCAGATAATGATGTTTGTACTAATAAACGAGCATTTGAACAACCCATTTCGCGTGTTTAGGAGTTGATGTATTTAAGAAAAAAATGTTTTTCTAATGACAATCATAAGACGTACACACATAAATAGCAAGTAAAAAAAAAGAAAGGTGGCAGTAGTCCGTATTGCAGTCGTTATTCTATCTGCATTACACCGAGAACGAGAGAAAGAGAGCAAAAAACTCGTTCGCCAAGCGCTGATGAGAAAAAGAGAAGAAAAAAAATGAAGAGAATAGTGAGCACAAGAGAGCAAGAAAGGAGCGAGCAAGCGAGGAAAACAATTTTCAAATGTCAAAGTTAGCAGCAACTGTAATAGTAGTGGGATCTTCTCTTTCTTTTTTTTTGTGTCGTTGTTAAAAAAAAAAAAAAGAAGAGGACGACTCACGAACAACGACCGACCGACCGACCGATGGCGACGAAAAACAGAAGGAAAGACGACGACAAAGAAGAAGCAACGGAAGAAGAGAATTCTTTCTCTCCTCTTCTCTTGTTTTACACATCATCACTTTTTTCTCGGGCATTTGTTCGCACTCAGTTTTCTTTTTTTTAGTTCGTACGGCAGGCGTTCTACTAGCATAACTAACTTGCATCCGCGTAAAAAATAGAAAAGAAAAAAGAGGACACAACGTCATCATCACTTTGATGTTCATTGATACGCTAGCTTTTCTACTTGGAGTAGAAAAAAAGAAAGAATTGATAATAGAAAAATAGAATGACATTTAGTTTTCATCAACTAATCGACGCAAAATAGCTGCAAAAAAATTGATACACCTTGTTTTTTTTCTTTTCTGTAATTATTTTATTTTTCATTTTTCTTAATAGCGGTAATGATGATGTGGTACAATCAATTGTGCGATTGAGTTACATGGTGCTCGCGGGTGGCGACGGACATTGCTTTTTTCACATTATGCCCACAGTAATTTGAGAACCCCCAAGTATGCCGAAAAAAACCAAGGGAGAAAATTAATTGTTGTTGTTGTTGTTCTTATGCAAATTGAAGGCAACATATTTTGGAATGATTACTCTTAGTTGTAATGTTAAACGAGATTTATTTTATCAATTGATGTATGTATAATGAACCATCTGCGTAGACATATAACAAGCAAGCAACAAATACAACAAGTGTCTATGTGTTGACAAATGTGTGCATACATTCGTCCTTGTCTAAGACATAAACATTGAAGATCATAGAACCAATGATTTTCGAGTATCGGAATCGACAGAATTGTATAATAGAAGTATCTAATGTTGTTTATCTCTTTCTCTCTCATGTAAAAAAATAGAGAATATGATTGAAAGTAAGACATATAAACAGATTTTTATATTTGTATTCTTCGACATACGTAGACATATCACATCAAGATAAATGAATAGATAAAAAGATTTGTTGACAAATGAGGGTTTTCTTTTTTCGTCTCTTGTCAATAAATCAAGCTTTTTCAATGCTAACACTCTTAGATCAAATACCGTCAATGATGGTTGTAGAATTGATGATATAAGCATATAAAAATATATAAAACAATTGACATTTCTCGTTTCTTTTTTTTTTTTTTATTCTCTTATTCTCATTATTATAGGGAAGCGTATGTATGATTATATATGTAAGCGTTAGTGCGTGAGGTGTTGCCATCAATTGTCTGAGAACATGTCTGTCGTTGAATATACGTAAGCAATCAAAAAAAAAATTTTTCACATAAGAAATATTCTTAATTCTCTATTACTATGAAAGATGAAACGCAAAAGACACAACTTCTGTATACATTCAGTAGTTTCATCGAATTTCGATTAGCTTTTCGGGTTGCTCGTTAAATCTATTGACGTCGTATGTACAAGATTAATCTTTACTCTTTTTTTTCTCCTATCTGCCCACCCTCCTATGTGGACACACATGCACACACACCCATTGCGGAAGTCAATTAGACTGTACACGAAAGCGTACACAAAAGAGAGCGAGAGAGAGAGAGGCATGTGGTGATTGTTGATGGCAAAGGTCAACTGCTGGTCACCTGGTTGATACCCCCTGTGTCGCATTTTTTTGTTCTCACAACCTATAGTGCAATATTACAATAGATATGGTCAAGTCAATAAGTGCGGTTGATGCTCTTAACAATGTATAAAAAAATGGGATCATTTCAATCAGTGGCGTATATATATTGATATGAAGGGAGATTTCATTCATTTTATGTGTTGTCATCAAATGAAAAAGACAAAAAAAAAACCAAAGTCAAGTATATATACATCTAACTAACTTCGACACAAAAGGATATTTTCATCACACTTCAAATTTGAACACTTCATTTCTGTTTTCAAAGACGATCATTTCGTTTGAACTTAAAAAGAAACGCTTTTTTCTTTGCTTCTCTTTTTATTTGTGCTTGACAATGAACAGTATGTCCATTATTTTTATGCCATATTTGAATTAGACCTGGAAAAATATCGCCTGTGGACCTTGACAACAAATATTCTGATGGGTCACAGCTCGAGTTGTTTAATTGTTAAAATATCCTCTCTATTGCTAACAAATGTCACTTTAGTTTCATCTCGACAGTTGTTCGCCCAAGATCACTAGTCTATATCCATTTTTCTCATGTATATTGAAAAAAAAAATGAATGCGCAGATGGTACCCCGTCGGACATTTCCTTTTGTCATCTTCAAAACGTGAAAAGAAGAAAACGGAACGGGAAATATATACAAGAAAATTTTTCACAAAAAAAAAACTGACATTTTAAAAGAAACATTCCTACACCTATTCGAACAAAAAAAAAACAACCTTCAGAACTTACTCGTTTACAGTGAAATAATCAACTAAGGAATAAAAAGAACATACACACACTTTTTATTCTTCTCTTCAAATGATTGTTTTTGAAGACATACGATGTGACGCAGATGGTACATTAAAAAAAAATATATATGCGTAAATGTCGACTTACTCATCATGGATGACTAATTTCATAGAAGAGAATAAAAGTGCCGAAGAACATACTCAAGAGAATTTTCGAAAAAAAAAAAACAAAAACGAACTATTAGATAGATTATAATATTTCCCAGTAGAATAGAAAGGATAAGATGAATGACAATCTTGATCTAACCCGCAAAATCAATACTTAGTTTATAGATATCACATTTATACAAGATGGTGATCTTACACAATGCTATATATATATATATATACATATATCAAATCTATATTGTATATCTTTTCTTTCACTACTAACACTAACATTACTAATGCACATTTTTTTGGCTTATTTTATCGAATAAATAAACATTCCTTTTTTTTTATCAACGATAAGGTCCAAGTGAATACAAAGCATTTTCTATTATGTTATGCACATGGACAGAAGAAAGAGAAGAAAATGAAAAAGCCACAAAAATGTATAAAGTGAAATATTATCTTACCTTCAATGTTTGTATGAATTAAACTAGAAATATTTTCCAATGTAATCGATATCAAAGATGAGAAATGAATGAATCACAAAACTACTCTGTGGATGATTAAGTTAGATGTAAATGTGACAACAATGCGCAGAACGATATGAATGAATATATGAATGAATGAATAAGAAGGATAGAAAAGAAAGATACAAATCGTACGTATGTATATATGTACGCGATAGAGAAAAAACGCCAAACGATAGATGGATGTATGTCACATTAACAGTGGCAATTGTTGTACAGTGCCCAACAAAAAAAAAAGCGAGAGTCAAACGATCAACAGTAAAGAAAGAAGAAAAGTATAAGACGCGAGTATTAATATAACGTCATAACTTTTTTTTTCTCTCGTTTGTCTTACAATCAGTGAAGGTGATATGCTAGTACAAGCTGTCGATAGATTCTCACAGATCATACAAGCCTAATATCGTTTAAAATTATCTGGACAACGATCGATTGATCGAAGAAATTAATTGCAATATAAATCAATGCACTTGGACGAACACATACACATCTGGTGCTATTCATTGATTGAGTAGGTTTCTCATTACGTAACCAAACAATGTATCATCTTCAACAATACATATATATATATATTTATACTTTTAATAGTATAGGTCAAGCGAAAAGTACAGTTGCGGTTGATGACATTCCACTTAATATATCATTTAGACACTCAAATATTATTTATGCAAGCTACAATTCGATTAGACATATTCAAACTCATTTTTAAAATGAACTTTTAAGTTAGGATAAACACAAATACATTTCTATCTCTTTGATCTTCTATTGCACTTATATCTTAATCCATCGACGCGTGCTTATACATTGTTCGAAACAGAAATAACAATAGACAAAAATAATACTTACGGATATTCTTCTCGTATTTAGACTTTTGTTGTTTTTTTTATATTCGTCAATCGTAAATTGATGAATGGAATGATACGTTTGTCTTGTTCTAAAATAAACGAGACCAGAATATGATAGTGCTCAAATAATAATGTGTGATTGATGAGACAAACGATAGAGGTCACTACTCTATATTTGATAGATACCTCTCGATGTTCGAATTTCAATGCTCGTGAGAAATACTTTATATGCATATGTATGTATATGTGCATGTATGTGTATGTATATGCCAATTTCTATTAATATTTTAACGAATAAAAATATGCGAGGTCGGCTATTGGCGTTTTTTCGTTCGTTTCTTCTAATCTTCAAGTAATTGTACCCGACAGGAGATAAAAATCAAACTCAATTGATGATTAACGACTTTGAAAAAAAAATGTGTCATAGTTTTTGATCTTCAATTTTGTTTTTCTAATTTATCGATTATCATCGCTACCATTAAAAATGTGACATATAAACAAGTAACAGATTTTCATCTAACGTCATTAGTGTTTGCAATATTCTTAGTTTTTTTTTTGTGTCTTACCTTATATTTTGCAAATAATGAATGCTTATTTGGGTGATGTGGTTTTTGTTATCGCTGTGGTTGTGTTGTGTCAAGCTATACCGAATGTTGGGTTTTGTTTTACTAGAACACCTTTATTGTATTGCAATGTTCTAATACTTATTT